TGTATTGTGAGCATAGGACATATTAGCTCAAATAAAAATGCTTCAGGCCAGCCTAAAAGCATCTCAAGAAGCCCTTGAATGGCTGTGTGTTTCCATCTCAGATTTCTTCACGTTGCCCTCTAACTGCTGATGCCAGGGAGGGCAACAAGAACCAGAGCAAAACTGCTTCCAAGTCTTCATTCATGAGGTGATAAGTAACCTTCCTACAGCTTCTACTATTATAGGAATTGCTGGAAAATCTTGAGGGAAAAGGGAAGAAAAAAAAGAAAAAATTAAAACCAATCTAAGAAGGGACAAGCCTTAGCAATATAGCAATAATAAAATGCTTTAAATCTCTGCTTCAATTTTTTTCTGAAAATATTTTATGCTGGAAAATTCTGCTTTAATTCTGAGTATACTGAAGGCCTAAATCACTAGCGCTGAATTAATTTTTCATATGAAAAACTTTGTAACTTTTCCTATTTTATTTACTTATTTATTTTTTGATTATATAAATTTCAGGTGTACATCATTATATTTTGGCTTCTGTGTAGACTACTTTGCGTTCACCACCCAAGGTCTAGTTGCCATCTGTCACTGTACACATGTGCCTTTTATCCCTTTTGCCTTTCTATTTTAAAACAAGCTACTTTTGGGGCTGGTCCCGTGGCCGAGTGGTTAAGTTCGCGCGCTCCGCTGCAGGCGGCCCAGTGTTTCGTTGGGTCGAATCCTGGGCGCGGGCATGGCACTGCTCATCAGACCACGCTGAGGCAGCGTCCCACGTGCCACAACTAGAAGAACCCACAATGAAGAATACACAACTATGTACTGGGGGGCTTTGGGGAGAAAAAGGAAAAAATAAAATCTTAAAAAAAAAAAATTAAAAAAAAAATAAGCTACTTTTACAAACACTCTCATCCAGTTATTTTGCATAATACATTCAAAATGCAAAGTCAGATTCTATTAAGAATATGTGAAGGCTCAATTCAACTGCAGTTAAATTTATGACTAATACACTTTCTTCGGTTAGTGAGTTGATCAGATCATGCTCTGCTTTTAGCTAACAGAGAGTGGATTCTATGCCTAAGCCCCTCTGAATGATGTGATAATAATTACTACTTGGTTTTTTATATATTACAAACCCATTTCTGAGCCTCTTGGCATACATGAAGAAAAACAGATGCAGATTAACTTTCCCATTGTCTGGAGCTTGGAACAGATCGCTGATATTCCTAGTTCAGAAAATGCCACAAATTTGTGAAGAAAGGTTTTATCAAACCAAAACAGTGAAACAAGGGGATAGACTTTGTAACAGATAAGAAGATTCAACCAGGAGAGATGAGCAAAGGTGCTAGCAGCATGTGACAAGCAGAAAGCAGAACTATTCCCTACAGGTTTTTTTTTTTAAACAAATTCTCTAGATTTCAGGGCTTAGTGCTGGCATAGATCCTATGCTGCTGTTATCCAGCAAGGAGAAACATACTCAACAACTGTGGCAGACGACTGGTCATTCTCTAATATATCTGTTCTCCTCTTCTTCCAGACTAACAGAATTTTTAGCTGAGCGTTGGACCGCCTGGAATAAATACTTCCCAGATGCCTTTGAGCTAGTGTTGCCATTTAACTAAGTTCTGGCCAGTGAGATGTAAGTGGAACTGCCCTGTGGCAGCTTGAGAACGTTCCTGAAGAGAAGGCTGGGACATGTTTTTTGTCAGTCTTCTCTCACATTCCTCCATCTTCCTGCCTGGAACACAGATGTTTTGGACAATGAAGTTGAAACATCACATTATGAAGGAACCAGAGAAAAAGAGCCGGGCTCTCTGCATATGGAGCACCATATTAGCCCTGAACTGCCTGCATGGACTTTAAAACAAGAGAGAAATAAACATTTATCCTGCTTAAGCCACTGCAGTTAGGGCTTTCTGTCAGTTCCAGTCAAACCTAACCCTACTGAACGCACCAGCTTTAAGGTTCACTGAGTCCACGTGGGGAGCAAACCACTACCTATTTAAAATCCAATTAAAAAGACATAGACTGTTTTTCTTTGTTCTTGTGGATAACACAGATAAAAAAGAAAAACAAACAAAAATAGATATCATAGTGGAAAACATTTTCTACAATACAGCTGAAACGTAAAGCGGGACCTGAGTTCTTATCCCAGTTGTATTACTAACTGCTACAATTGTATTATGAAATGAAATAAATATATAAATCATAATAGATACAAATTAGCACATGATTTGTTTTCAAGAGTGTGCGAATAGTAATTTTGTTCTGTGATGTCATAAGAGCACATTTACCTTTATTTATATAGATATAAAAATACTCCCATATCAGATTTCTTGAATCAAATTGAGTGCCAGTCAAAAGCTAGCTGAACAGAATGGTATGCTGCTGCTAGACTAATCTTTATTAAACATGAAAACAAATCAAACCTGCAATTCCTACTCCTTTCTACCATCTGCCCCCCACCCCTCCCAACACACACACTCAGTAGATGATCTCACCTCTTACTTCTCAGAGAAAATAGAAGTCTTCACATGGGAAGTCCCCAGCCTTCTAATACCAGATCTCCAAACCTACCTGTGTCTATACTCATCCTGGCCTCCTTCTCTCATGTTACAATAGAAGGGATGTCTTTCTTCTTATCCAAGGTCAGTTTCTCCCCATGGGTTTTGAGTCTCAATAACTCCTGCCTTCTCAGGAAACCTATGCTACAGATTATCACTTCTCTAAGTATCTAAAATATTTTAAATGTCTTCTCAACTGGATTATTCCCATCTGCTTATAAATAAGTTTGCTTCGTCCATTAAATGAAAGTTTCCTGTGAAGGCTCTCTCCTCCCTAGATGGTGTTTAGGCGAATGCTGTCAATTCTTGCCTCTGTGATTTTTATAGCTGACCACAGGTTGAGAAATAGGTCCCATATTTAATCAGGTTACAGCCAAATTTTCTGGACCGAGGAGACAGGTACTCTATCTCTTTTCAGTGGTTGCATATATCTGCTCCTGCCCCTTTTATGTGTTGATTTCTTGGTTTAATTCTCAGAGGGGTATTTTATTTTCCCAACTTCCTTATTCCTAGCGAGTATCTCACTGTGGCTACAAAACACACACTGCTAGTTTTCACAGTTTTCTAAATAAAGAATTCCTCAAATCAGTGTATAAGCTTACCTTACACAGATAATAGCAAATTTTGTCTCCCAGTCTTGTAGTCTTCAAATTTCATAAATAAAATTCACTAAGAAGTACAACATTGAGTAGTTCCATCGAAAAAAGTGAAGTTACTCCTAACAGTCTTTATTGAAATAATTGGCATTTACCAAGATTTCCAATGAATTAGTATTTAGCTACTTACATTGCCACAGAAATTAACAATACAATTTACTAAAACTGGAGTGACTATTTGAAGACAAACAATAAATGCTTCACGTTTACTTAAGTGTTTTATGATTATGTGCATCAGTAAAAAGAAATTGAATGTTTGACCCATGTGGAAAAGATGTTAAAGCAACGAGATTAAAGATACACTTCTGATTCAAGGTAACCAGAAGATTATTTACGTATTTTAGGAGCACATTTTCATGTTCCCAAGTACCAGTCTTGAACCCAGGCCGCGAGAATGGCTGCTTCATCTGAATTTTATGATGGCTTTCTGATTTGTTGCTACTTAAAGCAATCACATAATGGCAGCAAGTACCCAAAACATCAGAACATGTAGTATTGAAAAATTCCAGTATTAGGTACCTTTGATGACCCTTCATGAGTAGTAGAAATAATAAAAGATGGCCCTATGAGTGTGTGATGAGGTAGTAAGGGGCACTATGATTAAACTGGTGACTTTGATTCAACTCACACCTGGTAATTCTGAAGTGGCATTTTTTCAGAGAATCAGCACAGCATAGACACTGCATTCAAAGGCTTTCATTATTAAAAACAAATAGTTGAAAATAATTTTCAATGAAAATTCAATCTAAAAAAAGCTAAGCCTTCAAAGACTAAAGCTTGGGTTGCTTTCATGCATTTTATAGAACCACAACGTAATTTTAAGTTTTCCAAACAAGCACTGTGCAGTTCAAGTTTTTAATAAATTACACTTTTGACTTGGAATGTTTCTGAATTCCACCTACAGAAATTTTACTTTAAGCATAAATAAGGAAAAAGTAATCATTTTGGCAATCAGGAAGAACTTTAGAGATTTCTAGACCAATAGTCAACGAAACAGTGCCCTCTGACCTCAGAGTCACTAAGGGGATGAACATTGGTACTACATCAGAAAAAGTTTAATGAGTGGATGGTGAGATCCAAAACACAGACTAGAAGGCAGACTGGCATGAATTTGAAGATGGGAAGAATCTCAGGGAAGTTCACAAGGCTGGACTGCCATAGTTACTGCCTTTGTAAATATGTGTTGTCAAACTACATTCATTATTCAAGCCTGGAGTTTAGGAATGATGGAGTTAGGAATGATTTTGTGGAGGGAATATGTGTTTGATATATGAAAAAACTGTTAAACAGTTATATATAATAATAAAGAAACTAAAGTCAAGTATTAATATATTTTCTGCAGAAAGTCCGATTAACTAAAATGATATTTAATTGGTAGTATCATTACATATGCTGGTTTTACTGATTATTTAGAAATCTCTTACTCAGTTTATAGATTTTTTAGGTGTGTGTATTAGTTTCCAATTGCTGCTGTAACAAAGTACCACAAACTTAGGGGCCTGAAACACCACAAATGTATTATCATACAGTTCCAGAAGTCAGATGTCCACAATGGCTTTCACTGGGCTAAAATCAAGGTGTCAGCAGGGCTGCGGTCCTTCTGGAGGCTGCAGGAGAGAATACTTTTCCTTGCCTTTTTCAGTTTATAGAAGCCACCTGCATTCCTTTGCGGCCCTTTCCTCCATCTTCAAAGCCAGCAGCATAGCATCTTAAAATCTCTCTATACTTCTGTTGTCACATCTCTTTCTCTTACTCTGACCCTCCTGCCTCCCTCTTATAGGGACTCTTAAGATTACATTGGGCTCACCTGGATAATCTCCCTATATCAAGATCCTTAATTTAATCACTTCTACAGAGTCCCTTTTGCCATGTAAGGTAACATATTCCCAGGTTCTGGGGATTAGCACGTGGACTTCTTTGGGGGAGGGTCATTGTTCTGCCTGCTGCAGTGTGGTGGACTGGGTTATTGTTCCAACTCTTCATTCCTTCCCCAGAAATAAGATTATACATCCAATTCCTTTGCAGTAATTTTGCAGCATCCTCTCACTGCAGTTATGGAGTATTTCCCCACCCCCCTGGCTCTGGGATGGATCGCGTGACTTGCTTTGGCCAATGAGATTTTAGCAGTTGTGATGCAATCAAAGGCTTGAAAAGCACTTACATGACTGAGTATGCTCTCTTGCACCTGAGAAGAACATGCCCAAGACAAGAGTCACATAGAGTAGAGCTGAACAGCCCTAGCTGAGCCCAGCCTGGATTAGTTAACCTTCAGCTGACCACTAAAGATCTCTATTATTGTTGCTTTAAGTCAGTGAATTTTGAGAGAGTTTGTTATGTTTCATTTTTGTAGCTATAGCTAATTGATACAGTTCTTGGCTTTTCCCCTTTCCTGATCTTATTCTCCACTTACAGTTATTTTACTGCCAGACAGCATTTATTCATCATTCATTCAACAATTATTTAACTACTAGGTGCCAGGTATTGTGCAAAGTTCTGGGCAGAGAGTTGGAAGCTAAACCTCCATGATACATTCATATGGAGCTCACAGACATTCCTAAAGGAGCAGAAAGGCATATAGAAGAGACAGAACTTGAGGTCATTCTGTGAGTTGAGTTGGATAGCAAAGATTTGATTGACCTGATTGATTATGGGCAGTCCACGCTGATGTGCCATTAACTGAACACATTTTTATTTAGTACCTATTTTGTGAGTGTGGTAGGTGTTAGGGATACATACAAGAAGATACAAACTTTGTTTAAATAGTATTTAGAAATTATATTACTGATCATGGTGTTGTAAAAAATGACACTAGGTTAACAAAATCTTTCTGTTCTACTCAATTTGATTATGTACTCACAGCAGGTATTGCAGCTCTGATTAAAAAAACAAAATTAATAAGAAAAAAGTTTAAACTATTAATTTAAGTTTGGGTAATGTCTATTGATCTTAGTTATTTCTGTCAGTGCTTCTCAAGCTATCTATGGTGAAGGACCATTTATTTTTTGTTGTTAAATTTCTAAGCCATGCCAACTGATACATTAATAAAATACAATAAGAGATACTCAGGCAGAGTCAAACTGCTATAAAAGTTTCTAAATACTTGCACTTTTTATGCTTATCTTTTCACGCACTAGTAACAGCTTTTGGACTGGCACCTGTCCATAGACTATACTTTGAGTAACACTATACTGTCTCATTATGAAAATCAAGAACGTGAATTTATTTGAAGGCATAAAGTTTGAAGACTTGTACTAATAATTTGTGTCAAATTTATTGCTTTTTACACTAGCTTTTATTTTTAAAATTAAGAAACAATATGTGAAAGTGAAAATAGGAGATGCTTTCTGTTAATTCATTCAGGTCCATCTTCTTGTATTTACATGTCAGGGCTTTTGACTGAAACGGAAATGAATGAATGACTGAAATAACAGAAAATTTCAAAATGACTGAAACTTTAGATTGTGAAAAATGGTTTTCAAGTATTTTTAATTGAGAAACCAAAACCAAAACCAAAACAATACCACAAGAAAAAGGTGAACCACAAAAATATCTAGAAAAGCAGACACTTTGTTCTGTTATCTGTTATCTGCCAGAGGAAATTATTTCAAATATTACCTAAGATTGGTCCTTTTGCAGAGTATATGCTGAATCTATTTTGTCAAGTTTGTGTAATTAACATTGATTCTATGTAAGTGCTTATCTTCTGCAATCACTGTGCCAAACAATTTTTGTTTTATAAATTTATTAAAATATAGTTTTATCTTTAAAAGTATAGTATTTTATTTTAGGCAAGTAACTTTTTTTATGTTATTCTAACGACTTTGAAAATGTTTACCCTTCCATGTTGATGTATCGTCTTGATAGTTCTTTACTTTGGCAACGGCATGACAGCACAGGTATTACAGATGTGGAAGGTATTTTTCTATATAGAAAAGCACAAACAAAAATATTTTCATCAGGTCAGTTTCAATGTGGGCAGTATGCTTTTCTACTTTTGAAAAAACAAATATTTTCTTGAAAATGTTCCATATAAACATCGTTCCCTGGCAAGTACATGGCTATATTTTCTTTGAAAATATAAAAATGAGGAATATCCTCTTCTAATGTGTAGTAGAGAAGTACCAGAAAAGAAAGCATGTAATTTGGGGATGCTTCAGGAACTCCTTTTTTGTGATCCAGTAAGTTAATTTTTCTAGATTAAAAAAAATATGTTTTGACAGGACTGCATAAAAATATAAGAATAATTTTTACCTCTCTGAAAAAAATTAAGATGGCAATTAAAAAAATAAAACCAAATGCTCATAGAAATACCAAAGCAAGCTGGCTGGGGAGGAACCAAGTTTCTCAGTGCTGCTTCCTCTTATGCATGGTTCTTAGGGAAGGCAAAATGTCTGAAGTGAAAGTGTGGTCTCAGGGCCAAAGCAAAGAACTAAAACCAGGAGGAAGCAAGTTCGCAAAAGACAGCAGTGTGTCTTCAGATGTTGAACAAATGGACTAAGGGGCAGCAAAGCCCAGCAGTATGGTAAACTGCATAATTCTTGAGGTCCTCCCTTGTGCCGTAGACATGTCTGCTGCAGTCCACAAACTGTGAAGACTGGGTAGATGTCAACAGTACTGACTTTCTTTGCTTTTCTTTGCTTTAAATTTTCTTTAAATTTAGTCCATAAAATCACATTAAAGTAGTCATCCCACAAGCAAAAAATAAAAGGGCAAGAATTGAGATCCAGATTATCAAGTAAACATGTCATAAAATTATGCTGTTGGGGATAAGGGTAAAAAATTGTTTCGTATTACAAAATGGGATTGAATATGGATGTGATGGACATATATTTCCCTATATAATACTGTATAGTTTTATATATGTAAATATAAATAACTCTCTCTTTATATATATGATACTCATATCTTCTCAATCTTTCCTATTTAATCTTTGAGTTATTTGCCTTTTCTTAATCACGCACTGAATTACTGCATGTCTAGGCTCTTGGTTTGGTCCTGGCTGAATCATCTGTACTCTATGAGCAATTACTAACAGACCATATTCACAATATTGAAAAAAATCTTATCGTTATATGGTTTTTGGAAATGTTTACTTCCATTTTCAAAAAGCAAAGGCTCCAGTGTTGTATATATGTTTTCTAAAACATCATAAATAATACATCAAGTTTATTTCCTCAGGTGAGGAAATAAAACTAAATAATTTTAATATAAGAGCTAGAGTTCTTATCTAATTCTTGAAGAGTTAAGTCATCAGTACAGGATCTAAGACTTTTATTTTTCTCATTTTTTTTTGGTGTGCCTAGATCATTAAGAAGCACATGCCTTGATGAGTTAACTAACTTTATTGTGGCAAACATTTTGCATTATATATGTCTATCAAATCATAACACTGTACACCTTAAACCTACACAATCTTATATGTCAATTACATCTGATTAAAGCTGCATAAATAAATAAACAAAAATAATTTTTTAAAAAGCACATGGCTACTGGAGCCAGCTGGTGGTGCAGCGGTTAAGTGCACACGTTCCGCTTCTTGGCGGCCCGGGGTTCGCTGGTTCGGATCCTGGGTGCGGACATGGCACCACTTGGCAAGCCATGCTGTGGTAGGCATCCCACAAATAAAGCTGAGGAAGGTGGGCACAGATGTTAGCTCAGGGCCAGTCTTCCTCAGCAAAAAGAGGAGGATTGGCAGCAGTTAGCTCAGGGCTAATCTTCCTCAAAAAAATAAAAAAAATAAAAAATAAAAAGCACATGGCTTACCTGCTTGTAGGAGAATGAAAACAAATGACAATTTTTTTTGTCACGATCGTTAAGGTGGTTTATATGTAAGTGGACCTACCCAGTAGTTTTCCAGATTAGTTTTTTTCAACAAAAACCAAGATACATGAAAAAATAACAAAAATTAAATGGGGGGCATGGTGGGGAAGGAATGGAAGAATTTCTGAGAATAGTAATATATGATGCCAACTATAGGCAAATATACAAGGCAGTGCTTAAAGTTCCGTAAAAATGTGTTTCATTCTTTGTTTGCTTAGTAGTGGGACACTATAGAAAAAGGGGAGAATTTGGTTGAACCTTTTAAATTTTATTTTACTCTTATTGGTCTTAAAGTAGTCATTTGTAAAACACTACTGTTTAATATTGACAACTTTGAAAGTCACTGAAAAAAATTAAATGGCAATTTAATGTTAACAGCTGCTTATGGTTATCAAATCCATCAAAGCCCTTCATGAATATATCAGGCACAAACCCAGTGAATTACTGGTGCTGAAGACAGCTCGGCATTTTAAAATTGTCTAGTGAGAATAGATGTACTGAAATAAGAGGAAGGACTCGGATTACAATTTACTATTTTGTCTTTACATATAGAAAGAAACCTAGACCTGTTTCTAATTATTTAATGTTCTAAAACCTCTGCCAACTTAGCTATAAAATGATCTCTAGAAGGGTATTAGAAAATTATGCTTTATCTAAATTAATGTTCTTTTTAATATCTACAGTAACAAAACAAAAATAAAATAAAATTCCTGTAATGAAAGTAATTAATATGGATAAGGGTAGAGAAAACTGAGTAAAGAGTTCATTTTGAACCAGATATGATTCAGATCCCAAAACTGAGTCCTCCAAAGTTTAATAGGGCAGTCATGTTCTTGAGTTTCATTCTTCTAGAAGACTATCTTCTCATTAAACGTTGGTAAGGATGTTGTGGGGACCAGAACTACCTTAAAGAAAGAGCAGGGCACAGAGCATAAATATTCCCATGAACACCTTGCTTGCTTTACATGACTGGTCCTGACACCATTCCTTGGAAGGTCTATGCAGCCTGCCTTCTCTCAGGATGTTTTAAATTTCAAAGTACTATCTCAGTTATCTTTCATCCAAAGCCACAGTGTGCTTACTCTGGGTATCAGAAGGGCTGACTTCTCAAACCAATCTGGACTGAGGTGCAAAGGGAGACAGTTACCCATCCGCTCTCCTAAGTCTCTGGGTGGTAGAACTGTAGGGAGCGCAGGTCAGGCTCATCCGTGGGAATGGGGTGGACTGGGGGAGGCCTAAATTACACCAATGACCTTGTGCATGACCTTGTAGGTTAAGGCAAAGATAACCCTCCCTTGGCTTCTTGTTATGAGCCAAGAATAAAATGGGATCTTCAAGGTCATTCAATTGGGCATCTGACACAGAAAGTAAAGATTTCAATGAGAAGAATTACGGGGGAGAATCAAAAGTTCTTGTCTTTTTAAGTACCTGCTCACAGTTCAAGGTAATGTCACCAAACCACAGAGGAGTAAGACGGTTTACATGGAGAGGAGGGGGTCTGCGTTCAATTTTATACAGTACCAAAGAAGGAGCATTTTCTTGGCATGCGCCTAGTGCACGTATTCTGGGAAGCCTGATTCGAAAGCAAGACAGGGATTTGGGTCCATCTCTTCTCTTGAGATCCACCTAGAATACAACATCAGACTATAAATCAAGACGATAAGAGTAAGGCAGAGCCATAGTCCAAGAGGGCTAGAAGTAATTAAATATGTCTCTTTACTGAAAGCAGGCAAGGTAAAAGACTTGGTCTCAGAACCCAGGCAGGGGAAGCTCAGTTACTAGAACTAGGATATAAGATCAGAGCCAGATTATCATCAGGCTCTGAGCAGTGAAAAGTCTGGATAGGGGAAATCAATCTCGGTCAAAGGGAGAAGAGGGCTGTGACCTGGGCAGATAACCAGGCAGGCTCTGACAAGTCTAGAATGGATGGACAGTTCTCTCAACTTATTCCTAATTTGTGGAACCCAAAAGACATACAGTATCTTGTTAAGAGCTCAAATCCAGCCTATATTAAATTGCTTATTATTATTCTTACATTAAAATGATTGGCTAGGGCAGCAAAGTGCCTGAGCATATGTTTGTGGATATGAAAATGAGATGGAGAACAATAGAGAATAGTTAATAAATTATACTAATAGGATTAATAATAATTATGATCAAACCTCTCAAAAGACAAGTTAGTGAGCTGCATCTATCAGAACCTGTTGGTTCTGGTGGTGTTCTGTGTCACATCTTTTAAGAGTAAATGACCTCATATGAATTCCAGTGAGAATATAATGTTTTTCCTGCTGACTGCCACACAATGATAAACTCACACCTACCAGCCCTAGAAGATTCAAATGAAGTGAGGGATAAGAATTTAGAAAATAAAAACAAATCTTCATTTCCAAAAATTCTTAAAAGAGCCCTTACTAGATGACTTGAAAGACAAAATAGGTTTTAAAAGGTTTAAAAATGTATTAGGTTGCAAAACAAATGAAAAATTTCAATTTTCTTTTATCGAATCCATTCTTTACTTCTGATACTACAAGTGTGTTCTTGGTGGCTTTGCAATCTATCAACCTACATTTCCTGGTATTCTCTTTTCTGTCTGTTTCTGGTTAGGATGGGCCACTATAGATTCTTCTGTGAGATCTGCAGAAGTGAAGCAGCCGTCATTTTGCAGCTCACATAAATTGTTGCTTATTTGCTGGCTCACCTCACTGGCATGAGGCAGCAGCTGGGCCTGCAACTGCTCTATCTTCTGCTGGATCCTCCTTTCAGGTCTCTGCCTCCTGAGTCGTGGGTGTGTTTAACTCTGTAATGAAGGACCCTGGTTTCTACAGGACATCCACACCGTCAAAGTCAGAGGTAGCGAGAGCTCACTTTGGTTTCAGGATGTTCATGAACTATGGCTCATGCGTCTGCATTCCAGCTTGTCATGAATCTCCTCCATCTTCCCTTCCTGACTCCCTGCCCTGTGGACTTCAAGCTGCAGCAAAGACAACAATTCTACAGAAATAGTTTAACCACCTTCCACAATTGTGTAGGATCAAATCTTTGTAACAAATTCTTTTATATTATCTCTATCTCTATCTCCATTCTAGTGGTTTTGCTTCTCTCATTGAACCCTGCCTGAGATTGGGACAGTGACAGTACAAAACGAAAAGAGGTCTTTTGACCCCCAAAAGACCACTGGCAGGAAGGAGACTGAGAAAAGTATGCAAATAAAAACACAGGCTACCTTTCATGGAAAAGAAAAGATGGCTCAGAGGGCAGATCCGAGATCCATGGAGAATTTATTCCAGGTAGGAGTAATAGTGTTCTAATCAAACAACTTTCCACATTTTCCTGGTTGGTTTTTAGAATTGCTATAAACTGGTGATCTCTGTATACTTCTTATTGTCCCCCCTCAACCACCTTTTGAACAGGAATGTCTGTAGTGGCTATCCTATGCTTGTCCCACTGTTGTATGTTATATGGAGAGCAGATAACTTTTTCACTTCATAGGTCTTTGGATTGAGAGAACTGTACTTGAGGAGCTGTATTTAAGGAGCATCATCCACACGTGGACCTGATTTAAATGATGAGATTCTGGACTTTGAGCTGATGCTGTAATGGGATGAGACTTTGCGGGTGGCTTTGGGAGGGGATGGGTGTATCTTGATGTGGGAGAGATGTGAATCATTGGTGGCAGAGGGCTGACTATGGTAGCCAGCTTCCAGTATGGCCCCAGCGATTCCCACCTCCTGGTGTTCACAACCTTGTATAGTCTCTTCCTTCTAGACACCAGGTTTGGTCTGTGTGACCAATAGAACATGGCAGCAGTAAAGATATGCCACTTCTGAGATCAACTCATAAAGACATTGCAGTTTTTGTCTTGGTTGTGCTATTGCTTGGATCACTTGCTCAGGGGAAAGATAGCTGCCATGTCAAGAGGATACTCAAGCAGCCCTGTGGAGAAGTCCATTTAGTTTGGAACTGAGGCCTTTTGCCAACAGCCACAGGAATGGAGGACTCCAGCCAACAGTCCTGTGGGTGAGCTTTCCTCAAAGCTGACCCTCTAGCTATGCTCAAGTCTTTAGGCAACTGCAACCCAGCCTACAGCTTGACTGTAACCTCATAAGAGACTGACCACAGCCATCCAGCTAAACCGCTCATGGACTCCAGACCATCACAAACTGTGTGAGATACTAAGTGTGTGTTTTAAGCTAAGTTTTGTCATGCAGCAACAGATAACTAATACAATGCCTAAGTATAAATATAATCTTTCTTCCACATGCCTATGAAAGCCAAACAAAAGGAAGATCAGAGAGGCAGAGAAAAGTAAGGTGTGTTTTAGCTTACTATCTGTTTTTCTTCAATGCTCATTTAGGTTCTTTTAAACCTAGGCGTGTGGGCAAATACTCATTTAGCTGAGCTAAATGTGAAAGACGGTAAGGAAGGGGTTAGCTTTACTTACAGGGATATCCATATGTCTATCTATCTTCCTTGAACTGGACAATCTACTTTTGAGAAGACAAATCATGAGAGATTCCCAGAGTCTAGTCTCCTCTTTTCAGAATGGTAGGGAAGCTGCTGCTACTCTTGGATTGAGATTTAAAGTTTTATTTATTATTCTTTTTTTACCTAAAAGACTAGTTTAGAGAATGTAAAGTATGATTTGATTTCCATCCTACTTTTTTTATCCTACTTTTTTTTCCTATTTAATTATTTTTTTATTGAGCTAATGTTGGTTTATATCCTTTCTAGTTTTTGTTACGGAAACATTTGGAAACAAGAGAAATAATCTATTTCTTCTAGCCTCTATTTTGCTTTCTGGCTTATAATCAATTTCAGTAACTAACAATAAACAGTAAAAATGATAGAGTATACAAAGCATTGTCCAAGTGAATCCATCACAAACTTGTGTCTGAGAATGGTTTCCTAAATAGGGGAAATGTGTTTCATACAAAAAGTCCATTTTCTGTTATTGCCTTTTTCATTTGGACTACTAGATGCTATATATTTTAAGGCAATCTTAATAGTTTCCTGTCTCTCACTAACAAGAATGACTTGTCATAATGAGCAGTGTAGACACTGTCCATTTGATCCACTCCAGAAAGCTGTCTATTTGATACAAGAGTAAATCACCTCAATTCCTTTGTGGAATGAGTGGAATATAAATAAATAAATGAGACACAAGAATAAAAAAGAAATCTGGTTAGTTCCATCAGAAGGAAACAAAGGATAGGAACATTTGGAGGCCTGGTTTAATAAAAAATGTCACAAGACAAAGAATTATATGTGATAACTGTAAAAGCAGGAAGAATCCCCACTAACATAAAATGTCCATGAAATAGTTGCTTCCTTCTTTAGGAAGGAAGATAATTTTGTAGTTTAAGAATAATAATTCTCAACTCTTTGAAAGTAGAGGACCTATGTTGTAAAATAACTCTTTATTCACTTTTACTTCCACCAGACAGAATTCTAATTTTCAGCACTCTTCCTGTAATTCATCACATTGCTAAATCTGAGTAGGAATATCAGATTCCATTTTAGGGAATGCGTTTATTTTGAGGGTGTCATTCTGTTGTTATTTTGCATGTTTTTCATCAATTGTAAAGCTTTTGTCTTGATTTTTGTTCTGTTTTGAGAGGACTCCAAAATGTACTAATTTTTCCTTTACAATTAGTGTTTGGTGTATCTCAGAAAATTATGCAAAATGGCATTGCATTTGAGTACTTAATTTTTTACTATTACTATCTGAGATTTTTTGGTATGAAATATTAATATAATCATTATTCTATGTCAGGTTTAGGGTTCCAGGTGGGGATGAAAGATAAGTTATGACAAATTCTGGTCCTGTAGGAGCTGGAAAGTAGTAAAGTGATTCTCACAATCAAATCTCAGAATGTCTAGCATTGCAACCACCCAGGGGGCTTGTTTAAAATGCAAATAACCAGATGCCACCCTAAAGAGACTGAATGAGAATCTCTGGGAGTGGGCCCTGAGACTCTTCATTGTAATAGGTTCTCTCTGTGATTCCAACGCACGCTAAAGTTTAAGGACCACTGATCTAGTGAGGGTTGGAGGGTAGAGGGGTAAATTTACATTGCGATTGGAGCCACAACATAATCTTCAAAATATAACAGTAGCGTCTAGGAAAAAGCTTTGCCATGACAGTTCCTATCTGAAGAGAAAAAAAATCTTATATATATATATTTCTACACACACACACACACACACACACACACATATTAAAGACACCAGAACGTGTCTTTCTGGGTTTTAGAGAAAACTTGTAAGAAGATTTACAGATCAGGCTGGAGTGAACGGATTCTATAATTCCACTCTACTAGATCACCAGCAATTTTCTTTTCGATGCTTATAGATGGACAGTGGTATCTATGTCTACTTAGCTTTTTTTTTTTAACTCAAAAGAATAGTTACTAGAACTCCCCACTCTTCGTTCGTAATGGGGGAAATCAGTCACCCCAAGAATCCCAATTGAGTAGAAAAGTACTGTAAGAGCCAATCAGAGCGCTCTCTGGAGCAGCTCCAAACCGGCTTCTAGGGAGGACTGGCGGAAGATGGGACTTTGTTACCTTCATTCAACCGGACAAAGAAGGCCACAATAGTTTAGGGCGGTCGAAGATACCTTGTGGGTTACTAGGCGAAGTATTAAACCTCGGGAAGGCTGACCGTTGACCAGAAGATCCCTTAATGGGAAAACCTGGAGGCACTACGGATACCTTATTTTCCAAGATCCTGGAGAACTGGTCAGCAATTGTAGTGGTACCAGCACCCAAAATGGCAGCAAGACGCTTCAGGCGCCGGATCAGGTGATGCAGCCCCAGTCCGCTCCCTTCCCACCAGCCGCTCCTCCTCCTGCTCCCTGACGTAGCTGTGGGCGTGGCCTGTCCAGCGGCTGGCCTCGGAGGCTAGGAAAATCGAAGGATACACATGCGCAGTTGGGCCCCACAGCCCCCTCGGGCTTTCTCCCCGCCCATCGCCCCGCCCCTATCTGCCGGGCGGGGCTGGGCCGAGAGTCCAGCAGCTGCTGGCTGGGGCTTCAGTGACTTCCTTGTTGTGAGCCCGGGGCCGGCAGTGTTCGGACTCTTAGCCCCGCTGTCCTTACCGGGACCGCTAGCCCAAGTCTAGGTCGCAGCCGCAACCCCAGCCTGTCGGTTCCCCCTTCAGCACAGGTCCTTTGCCCCACGCCCTGCGGTCCCTAACATGCCCAACCCCAGCTGCACCTCCTCTCCCTACCCCCTCCCTGAGGAAATTAGGAACCTGTTGGCAGGTAAAGAGCGGGAAGGGGGCGGGTAACGCCGCCGGGGCGGGGGCGGGGGCGAGGGGACGGCGAGCCGGTGGGGACAGAAGTATTCAGAGTCTCTACCCTCCCTCTCCGCGTTCCCCGAGTCCCCCGGCCAGTGGGAGCGGGACTGGGAGTCGGGACAAGAGGTCCAAGAAGGGGAGTGGGCATGTGTTGAAATTTGGTGCGAGGACGGTGGGGAAGCCCTTCTTGATGGGCTACGCTAATGGGATCAGGACAGTTCTGTACGCATCGTGAAGACGCTGTGTGTGTGCCCGCGGGTGTGTGTGCGCGTTTGAGAGAGAGAGAGGGAAGGAGGGAGAGAAAGAGAAAGGAGAAAGAGAATGATAATGAATGCATGAGTGTGAACTGAGAAGGGATCAAGAAGTCAAAGAAGTACTTCTTTGGTGGCCTGGCCAATGGAGGAGAAGGGTGTAAAGATGCAGAGAGGTGTCTGAGCTACAGATGTTAGGGGTTGGGGTTAGGTGTTATGGGACGGAAGGGTTTATCATTTCTAAAACTCCCATTCATTCCGCCGATATTAAAGACTTGCAAAGAGGGCCTAATTCTCAAACGGCCACTTGTCTTCAGCCTGAGTAACATTTTAAGAGAAAAAGGAAGGATGTGTTAAAAGTCCGACTTCCTGTGTCACACGACGATGAAAGTACGTCTTTGCACCCTCATCTTCCCCTTTTCAGTTTTAAGTTACCATTTGTAGGAACTTATTTTAGGAGTTAAAGATGCGGTTCTTCAAGGCTATTATGAATCCACTGCTAGTTCACTAATGTACTAGATATGGAGATGTGTAATGTGTAATGAAAAGTTCATCTTTCTGCACAAAGTAGAAAATATGTCTTTTTAGGGTAGCACGAGGCTTACCTATCCTGAGGCTCTGGAATTCTTACCATCATTGAAGAATACATCAGAATTCTGGAAATAATTTTGATCGTTTTATGTTAGTCTTCTCTTAAGTATTTATCTTTCAATATTGGTTGTGAATAACTGGATTAAAAGAGTTTCACTTAGATGCCTGTGTTACAGGCTGCTTATTTTAACTCTTAAAAAGCAATTTCTAAAGTGAGACATTTTAAATAGTAAGTTACTGTTATAGCAGTGTGAAAACAAATCTAATACTCTTTCACTGTTTTGGTGATTAGCATCATGAATATGATAGAGAAAATAAAATCAATACTGTATGAATGCACACTTATGTTTGTGTGAACATGATTAGAGCGTGATGAATGCATTTGTGGTGGGATGGTATTTCACTCTAAGAAATGCTGTTTGTCATTAATGGGTACCACTAAGGGAAAGATTGAAAGAACTGTAAAGACTGATTTAAGGCAGCTTGTCTTCCATTATATGAGAGTTTCACATTAGTACTGATTTTGTTTTACTACAGTTAACATTTTCATTGTTACAATGCTGGAATTTCTTGTTTAGGATATTATTTTAATAACCAGATCAGAGAAGTGTTTATCATTACTTCAAAAATAGATGTCACCATTTTCTGGATATTTTAGGTCTGAATTTAAGAAATAAAGTAGAGACCTCCTGGTGTGTGTTTTTAAAGCTTGACAGCCCCCAAAGTAGACAGTTTGCTATTTGGATCCATAATCATACATTTGCAGATAGTATGATATATAGGTAATGAGGCCTTTTATTCTCTGATCTCCATAGATAACAAATGTTTCATGTGACCCTTATTTGTGTCATTTAACTGAAAGCTCAGAATTACATATTTAAATTATCTGTCATTGCTAACTTCCTATATACCTTATTAGTCTCTCTCTCTTTAGTCAGATAATATTCTTGTGTAATGTCTGAAATCAGTGTTTTGAAAGTCATCTTATTGACATTTTCAATATTTCATATTATTAAAACAATTCACATATTAAAACAAATGAAGTATTAAGAACAAATGTTAAAACATTAAAATTTTGGCGCTTATAAATTTGGCTTATACTTTACTTTTGGAGGATATTTTCGAGAGAGATGGATATGAAAGAGTATCTGTATATTTTAAAGAAGTGAAACAAGTGAACCAGTGTTTTCTGGTTTTCTTTTTTAACTTATTATTCAAAGAAAGTTGTGAACATTTTATGTTTGACTGTAATTAAAATCTTTTTTGAGGTAGGAAAGGTTTCAAGAATAAATGCTCTCAGCAGTTTTTTCATATTTTTCATCCAAAAAATTCTGTTGGGATTGTGCATGGTGATTTGCATAATTTGTGTGTCAGGTAATAGTACCTGGTTAGATTTAAAATTACTAAAACTATAGAGGAAGAGTTGGTATTAATTTGAATTGTAGAGATGTTGCTGGCTTACCTAGTACTTTCTTTGAAACTAAGGAGATACTGGTAGTTGTTACCAGTTGAGAGCTCTTCGAATGCATGGCACTGTGCTAGAATTCTAAGGCAGAGAAGATAAGGAACTAAACTTTTCAGGTGTTTAAAAGCTCTTGCCTCCAGATAAAAGGAATATGAAATCAAAAGATAATGCCTATCAAAATATCGTTGGTTGGATATTTCCCTTGGTGTTCCGTGGGCCTTTCCTCCAAATCATTATACATCATATGTGTTCAATGTTTGACATTTCAATTGCTTGAGAGAGGTAGATGCTCAAATGTATTCTTATCAATTTATTATTGTCTCTTTCTTTCTGATCATGGCAGTTTTAGGCTTCCCTTTCAATATTTGTTCCCTGCTTCTTCTCATCCCTTCACCCTTTTAAAATAAAGATTCTATAGAAATGCAAAAACCCAAAGAGGCTATCATTCTTAACTCACATTTATTGATGCTGATGCTCTTGAAAGAGTGGCTATCTAGTGTGATTGTTAGTTCTTTACATTCCTGTAGAATCAGTATATTAAATCTTGAAAGCCTGTACTTTTAATAAAAGTGTTGAATTATTCTTTTGTTTCACAAATAGAAAAAAGTTTACAGATTTTTCTTATGGAAAGTAAATTCTGAACTGCCATATGCATTGCAGGCAACCTTTAATTTTTTTTTTCCCCTACAACAATGGAAGAAAAGGTTTAGCCTGGATAATTAGAATCAAAGGATACTCCCAAATCTCCATTTAATCTTCTCCTACATCCAAATATTTTGACTAGGACTAACAGCAAGAATAATCTTGATTTATGTGAGTTTTCCCTCCAGGCAGGCAAAAAAGTGAGAGCAACTAGAACCACTGGCTCCACCCGCTCTTTCATTGGTTTAATCACCCTTTGAATACTGGAGTGTTAGTGGTTTGCAATCAGATATTCTCATTCATTTGTTTTAGGATAACACATTTAAAAAGGAAAACTGTGAGAGGATATTAGTTTCCTTTTAGTAAATTAGAAAGTGAAACCCATGTTAAAAAAAGAAAATAGTGGTTGTCAGTACTCTGAAAAATCAAAACCGAATCAAACCAGCAATAAACAAAGTGGCTGTATGGTTTCTGCAAAGTGACCTTGAGATTGTCTTCACACCGCAGTCTTGATTAGAAATATTCCATTCTCCCCTATTGGGGATTTCCAGTACATTTTTTTTTTTTAACCTTCACACGATATAATCTATATTTCCTTTAGGGGCAATAGGTAAAGAATGTAATTCAGTTGAAAGTGAGACAGAACTTTTTCAAGGCTGGGAATAATATGGTTTGATTTCCACCTTTCCAAAGTTCCATTTATAATTTGGTCAACATTTTGGTTTTATTTTTCCTGTGAGAATTATTTGTGGTATATCTAGTGTCCCATAACTGCCTTCTGGGGCATTGGATGAGTATGTAAAGTGAAGAGTGCCACCTACTGAGTCACCAATAGTCACCTACTTCTTTAGCACCTGGATTTTCCTACAGAGCAAGAAAAGCCTGCCCTATTTTGGTATTAATAACTAATGAGCATAAAGTCGATATGAGAACATTTGATCTCAAAATGAAATCAGTTTATGACACCTCTAAGATTTTCTCTTCTAGAAATAGGAATATGTGTTTGTAAATCAAGGGACCAGAAATGTATAGTATCTTGTGTGGGTCAGATAACATAGATGAATTAAGATGTGATGTTAGGAAAATTATTTGCCTATCTTAAGCACATAATATCCTACTTTTTCTTGGGAGGGGACCTCTGGCTGAGTTGTTTTCCACATGACTTTCCACTGACAATGTTTTCATCTCACATTACTAAATAAGGCTCTTGATAGTATGCACAGTTTTTATAGCTACTCAGTCCAAATTATCACTGGTTTTCTTTTAGGAAAGGAATCTAAATGTACTAGAAAATGAGAAATATATGAAGAATTTCCAAATGGGTTTATCTCTACGTTATCAGCATTAAAGTATTACTAGAAGGGAGATAGAAACAACAGAGTGGGAAAAGCCTCTGGTGATTTGAAACACAGTTCAGTTGTCTCTCATAAATTTAAGATTAAGTGTCATATGTGGGTGATAAAAGTGGCATAGGCTAGTTTTTATATACTCATTATTCACTTAGTTTGTCTTTTTCAATTAAAGCCAAGTCTATCTTTTTCATTCCACTGAGTTTACATTTCTTTTTCAATCACATACTGAACACATTACAATAGATGCTGCCCAACAGTGAATATAGTGTAAATCTCAGACTAATGTGTTATTCACTCAGGCTTCTTTGAAAATGCGTGGTAAAAAGATTTTGATTATTATAAGGTGGTATTTATCAAGAGTCATCTTTTAGAGGTGAAAGATGTTCATCCCTATCCTTCAACAGCCTAGCTTTCTATCAAAATAAATCATTTAGCCTCCAAAGCCAATTTCGAAAATTTTGTCAGATGATTGGATCGTAAGACTAAGGCGTATCTTACCCATCGTACTGTGAGAACTGCTTGTTCATGTTCATGTCTGTTCCATGTTCGAAAAGTTCACAGTTTAGCCATAACCTGTAAAAGTGCTAGGTAATCAAGAGAAAGACATTGATTAGAGCAATCAATAACTTTTCAATTAACCATTTTCCAACTTTGGGCATTTGGTCCCATTGATCTACATGTGCCCAGCTTAATTGATTTTTACATTCTCACCGGTAGGTGTTTGGTCAGACCATACCCCGGCTTTAACAGAAAGGAAAAGCTTGTCGTTTTGTTCTGATGCCAGCTTAAAGTTTGGCTGGGATCCTTACCACAGTAAGTTTGGTGATTGCCCCTCAGTGAATACAAGGTGAAACCTGGCCCAATTCATAAAGTGGAGAACGATGTGGAATTAAGTAGTAAAGCCATTTGGGGTGTTGTGTGATTGGTTTTATTGATCTGGGGCTGAGCAAATGGTAGTGGATTCAGTCCAATTCTTGCCCCTCCCTCTCCTTAGAATTCAGCCATCACAGAGGCTCTGGGGGGGGGGGGGGGTGTGTGTGTAGATGCCCCCTCAGGGAGGTATTGGGTAGTTGGGGGGGATGAGGCAGAAGGCACCAGGTGTTACTTTTTTCTTTTACAACCTCCAGCCTGGAAGTCATATTCCAGGCAGTTTGCTGGTGGAGGATGGTGAGGGCAAGTGGTCTAATCTCTGCTTTCTTCAGGAGTGGGAACCTGTGCTATGTGCTCAGCCTTGAGAAGCAGACAGTTTATTTTCTTATTTGCGTGAATTTAAAAACTGTTCTAATGTTGTGTGGTTTCACCTTTTCATTGTGTGATCCATATGGAAGTTGGTAGAAAGCAGTTAGCCTCTGTGTGTGTGTGTGTGTGTGTGCACGCGCGTGTGCATGTTAGACACCTGTCCTAACCACTTGGGACTCTAGGGAAAGATGGAGTGGCAGTTTTTGTAGGGGATGCATATGTACAGAAAAAAAAAAAAAGGAAAATTGGAGTACCACTCGGTGATCTGGTGTGTGCTAAGTGTTTGCCGTTTAGGGGTTGTGATGGCTATGGGGAGGTTTCTAACTTAAACTGCTTGAGGATTGCTGAGCCAAGGCATGATGTCATCTTTTAATGTTTTTTCAGAACTTCACGTTTATCTACAGAGCAGTTGTAAATCTGATGTTTTCCGCGGCCCTCTCCCCCAGATCTTTAGAGTCCTACCAGGAGATAGGGTTTACTGTTGACAGTGTTAAGGTGTAATAGGAGCAAAAATCCCCACCACATTTACACTCGCTGGGATAACTTTTTTCTCAGGGATGGCTTGGGGGCAGGGGCTGATGGAGATGGGGCTACTTCTGGGGTTAAATGCTGGCGGCGCTGATCTGCTGTCTGCGTGGCCGCAGGCGGGGCGGCAGTAGGGGTTAGACCGGGTGCGTTGGGGGCACCCCCGAACTGCGCTTTCTCTACGCCTCTCCTCTCCCGCAGCAAGTGGGCATGAGTGCAGACCCCTCCCTCTGAGGAAGAGGAATTCTAACTCACCAGGCCAAGGGGCGAGCGAGGAGGCAGGCTGACCTTTTCTTGTAATCGAATTGTGGCTGTTCCCCGAATTCAGGCAGTCTGGAGTCAGTGAAATCTACATATTAACGGAGGGACATGACCTCTACAGGAAGGTGGAAGAGGGCTAACGCGCTCGCTGCTTTACCGTTTGCAGGGCTATTCACAGCACAATAAAAAGCTTCAAATCTCTTTTCCACCCAGCCAGAGGAGCGCTTGATTCGCCCAGGACTTTTATTGCTCGCTTTTGAAATATTACCCTGGCTCTGAGCTGCAAAGCCGCAGATCTAGTCCCATTTGTCTGGCGAGGGCACTGCCTCAAACCAGGGGCTCCCTGCTCGCAGCTCGGTTGACGGAAACCCGGGGGTTTAGCACTCCGAGTGTCGAATGTCGCGGACTGCAGAGCCGAAGCATCTCCCAGTAAAGCCGGAGTAACTTTTTCGCTCTCCCTTTGGCTTTGCGCTGGGGGAGCAGCGTCCGTGTTTGCTCAGGGACCCGGCGAAGGCCGCGGGCGCGTCCATAGGATCTCCTGTGCCTGCGAGGGGCTGGTTTCGTTCGATTTGAAAACAAATGGGCACAGTGTGGATTTTAAGAAATAACCCAAATTTCAAAAATTTAAAAACCAACCGAGTCTCTGGGCACCAACAAATTAAGATGATTGCAGGCACCTCTTCTACTTTAAAGTTCTTATTTGTTAAAAAAGAAAAAAAGAAAACAGCAAAGCAGTTCCTACGTTTTCCACGTCTCCTTTGAGAAATAATTTTTTAAAAATCGATGTTTATTAAATCTTTTTAGTTGCCTTAAACCCTTTCTCTGGGATAAGTTTAGGAATAAATACGTTAAGACTCCTCTAAATAGATAGATCTTTTCCCTTGCCCAATCTCTGGATCTCCTCTTCCTCAAAAAAGAAACAAACAACACATTTTTCCTGCAGTCTCATGCTCTTTCAACAAGTATTTCTTCATAAAATAGTTACGTGGCTCAGTATTTAAAAAAAATTTTTTTGGAAGTATTAGGAAACATTATATAGCGCGTTGCAGCTTTTTATGTTTTCTGAGTTTTTATAGATCTGAAATGACCTTTTAAAGAAATAACTCTCGGGCTGTAATTCGTTCCGTTATTGCTTCCGGAGATAGAAAATAGATCCCTTTTGTTTAAACTTGGATTGTATAATGAAAATGTAAAATAGGCAATTAAATACTCGCGGATGAGGGAATTAAGGACAAACACTGAGTGAAAGTAACATTAAGCAGACTATTCACCAATCATTGTGCTGTGGTTCTCCCAAGTGTTGAGTGCCCGTTGGAAGAAAGAATCAGCAGTAGAGATGCTCCTCCTTCCCTTATTCCCCTTTCTTAGTAGATTTATTGTGACCATCTCAGAGACACCGGTGACCCTTTCCATTTTAGTTAATGTCTGAATGTCCAAAGGTGGCTTGCTCCTCTGGGTACAAAATTAAAGCGTTTAGAGGAGAGCGCTTTTTTTTTTTAATATAAGTTTCGTTGTTTTGAACTCACTTTAGCAGTCTGAGTCTAATTTGCACTGGTACTGGATTATGTCTCTATGTTCTCCTCTTCAAATATGAACAGCTGAAGGAAAGAGAAGCTGTGACTTGCTTTCATTTCGTTTTGATACTTGCTTTAACATTAGTCGTTAATGGACTTCCAACCAGAAAGCTATTTTTAAAAATTATTCCAAGATTAAATTTTAATTTTCACTTGTCATATTGATTTAGTGAAAAATTACCTTTACACATTTATTATGAATGCATAGAATAACAGTTTAATCAACTTTGCTCATTGGATCAAGATACTTTTGTAATCAAGAATTTAAAGTCGATTACAACATTCTATCTCAAATACTGGGTTTTAAATTGTTAATTACTAGTACAGTTGAAAAGACTATTTATTATATGGCTTTAAATTAATTACATCCCATATTATTGTATGTTTTGATACCATCTTTTTATCAGTGTGAGTTAGGAGACAAAATAGATAAAAAGAAAGTAAAACATACATACATCTGTTCAATAGGAAATATGATGGTTTATAATCATACCTACTTTAAAAAATGTTTTATGATATTCCTTATATTAGGTATCTCAAAGTGAGGTTTGAAATTTTGAATATAAAATTAAAATTGTACAGTATTTCATGAACAATAAGAATGGGGCTATTATAAAATCAAACCAGTAAGGATTTGTGGGAATTTTATACTAGAGAGAAGTAGAAAGCAGAATAATTTAGAAGTTTACTCAATTTTTTAAAGAGAGGCTATGTGGAAATGTTATGTGAGGTCATGGAAATCTTATCTCTTGGGTACTATATTTTTAAATAATAGATGAATCTATTTTTGCCACTTCTTCCTTTATTTAAAGAAATATTTCCAGGTAGTAATACCAAGGCAGGAAGCAGAGCACACAAAACCACACAACTAATTATCTTTTTTATTTGAGGTTGGCTGGCCAGAGTGGGTGGGGCAGGTAGGAAGGAGGAGGGTTTGATTTGGGAATCTTGGCTAGAAAAAGGGATTAATGTTTTCCTTTAAAGCATTAACCATTCCGTATACCTGAAAATGGATTACCCTGGGAAAAACAGGCCCTTGCCAGAGACATTAGCTTATATTGATGTAATATTGTGAATGACCTATTCATACAGGAACTTACAAAATACTCTAAAATGATACTAACACATGCATAAAAGCTCTGTGCTTGCTTTTATGGGAGAGAATTTGTTTTATGGGGCAGCATAGTTTATTAAAACTTGTGTGCTTCTTCCTGGTTTAATGATGCCAAACATCCAAATAGCATTTGCTGTGCTAAGCATAAGTAGAGCATACAAATTTTATTAGCTAAGTGGTGAACAGATTTGTTCAACTTAGTGTTTGAAACATACTTCTACTGTTATGCTTTGGATTGATAAATAACTGTAACAAATTGTACAGATAGTAACACTTATGGGTAGAAACAATCATTGTCCTATTTGTCTTCACAAAAAATGATTCTTTCCTTTAATTTGTATCCTATTTCTTATATTTCATGGTTTAGATGTTGAAACATTTGTAGCAGACATACTGAAAGGGGAAAATTTATCCAAGAAAGCTAAGGAAAAGAGAGAATCCCTTATTAAGAAGATAAAAGATGTAAAGTCTACGTAAGTCACTTCTTGCCTTTTATTACTAATTTCTTACTTAGAAGTAATTTTTTAATTAACATTTTAATAAAGAATTGGTCATTGTGGAATTACATTTTTTATGTTCTGATTTATTTGGTGTTAAGTATTTTTAAGGGATAAAATATATTTCTACCCTAATTTTTAAAAACAAGCATACTTATCATAATACCCTTTTTTTTGTGAAGGTTCTTGATTCTGTATGTGTATTTTTCTAAGCATTCTAGCAAAATCCAACTGTTCGTTTTGATTATTTGAGGAGATATTTGGATAAGATATAGGTAGGTTGAGAATTTTAATATAAATATGGAAAATACCTCCAGATACTAAAATGAATAAATGTAATATAAGTTGTAGGTATTAAAGATATATCCTGATTTTATTACTGTAACTTTTTTATGTCTTTAAAAATACTTTTATTATAAATCCATAAGCCTTTGGAATTGTCATTTCAGGGTAGGAAACAGTTTTTTCTATAAATGTATATTTATAATAGAGATTTTAAAATAGATCCGAACAATTGCTACCGATTAGACCTTGTTTTGATTTGTCAACCCTCCTTTTAAAATCTAACGTTCTTGCTTTATTTTACAGCTATCTTCAGGAATTTCAAGACAAAGGTAAATTTTCAAGCTTGTCAAACTTATATATATTTTTTTCCTTGTGGAGATTTTCAGTAGAATAATCTAGCACATACTGCAGTTTGATAGTTGGAATCAAAATTTAAATTTCCGTATTGTATACTTAGACTTTCAAGATGAGGGTGCTAGCTCCCCCTGCTGAGAAAAAAATTAAAAAGCATATCCAGATTCTGCACAATCTTCTGCACAATGCAGAAATCTTCTGTATTTAACTTTCTTGGGTTTTATGTTTCTTAGAGTACATTCGGCAACAGTTTGTTAAGAAATGTCTATACTTGCAGTTACACATGGGATAATTTGGTGAAGCAGAGGTGAGATGCCAACCCAATGCCATTTGCAGAGATGGTTTTATAGTTGTGATGGGAGCAGGAGGGCCCAGGGCTGGGTGCTCAGAGGTAATGTTGCTGAAGGGTAATTATTTTAAAAACTAAAAAATGTCAATTTTTGTTTAAGAACATGAGTAAAATCTTTTTCAAATGCTGGTTTTTATTAGCCTTATGATTCTTTTGATACGAATAAATGTGTGTCATAGACATTTTCAAAGAGAATTAACTTTTATGAAATATGTGAGAGTGCGGTCACCTGACTGTCTTCCTTTAGCTTCGAGAGGCAGCTGCTTAGCCTAGTGAAAACCAAATCAAGAAAGGCAGAGGCAGTTCCTACTATTTCGTGTTTTCAGTTCTGTAAGGGAAGCTGGGTATGGCTCTCACTTCCATGCTGCTAATTCATAGGTCATGACCTAAAGCCTGTGGATGCTGGTATGAGGGTCACAACATGAGGTCAGTTAACCTATGTGGAGGTAGGATCTGGGTTTAGGGGAAAACGGTATGGCATCTTCTAACGGGGGTTAGCAGATACCACAGAGTAATTCGTATCTCTGCCAACTGATAAGTGAGAGAGTAATGACAGTTTCAGCAAACCAAGTACTTAACCAGACAAACCTGAAATCAAACAGTTAAAGGGAGACCGCAGTTTCTTTTCACATTAAATCGTCAAGATCATTGTGCTGGAGGGAATGAGAGGAGATTTTTTTCCATATTAAAATTTTTAACACTATTAAATAAAGAGAAGAGGAGGAAACTCCACCTCCCCACGAATACCACTTCTTTGTAGTCTATGACGAATCCTAAACTATGGGTTTAATCCTGTTGCATTTTGCTTAGTTGGATATAGAAATAATAAATTTGTGCATTTTAATTATGATAACCTTTTATACAGTGCATTGTTTATAGAGGAATGTTAGATATCAGATTCTGCCTCTTTTCTTAAAAGGCATATTTTGTTCTAGTGATTATTTATTGAACTCTCATTGTGACTTAATTTTTTGTACATTAAAAGTTTTAAGGTAGAAAGCATGATAATATGAAGTCATGGTAGAATTGCATATGATTCGATAGTAGGGTAGGAATTTTCCCTTTGGTGTTCTGGTTTAGGACTTGTTCAGGTATGTGGATATTAAAATCGCATTACTAAGATACATTCTTTGTCTCTAAAGAGAATAGAAGTTTATATAGTGTTTGATAGAAATTGAAAAATGAACCTAGAATAAGAGTTCAAATAACACAGAATTCAGAGGTTCCCCATAATCGTTTTCCTCAGAATGAGCCATTTGTAGTTCAATCCTGCTGTACTGGGTTAACTAATTGCCCAGAGCGCCTGCTCGAAAGCAAGCCTACGGAGAAATTAGATGGATACCTTGGAGAAATATGAGAAGTTGAGTAATTTTATGCCATGTACCCTCAAAGGATATTCAGTTTGTTATAAAAGGCTATTCCTGTAGCTTGTTAGGAATAGCAAAGGGAAGTTAGTACAGACTTAATAGCTGCAAAGTAATTATTCAAGATACATCTTTTTTTTTTAAAGTAAGAATTTAGTAATTATCAAATCTCTATATTGAGTAAATTCAGTTCATCTAAGGATTTTTTGATAGTGCTGCATTTCTTTTTTTTCTTACATTTTCTGTTTGGGGTTTTGAATTGTCTTCATCCAAGAAGACCTGGGCAGAATTCCTTTTGGCTGCTTTTCCTGCTCTCTCTCTCTCTCTTTCTCTGTCTCTGTCTCTCTCAGGTCAATATGAGGTCACAGTGAAGTGAACAGAGGCTGTTTTTCTCCTTTTTACCTTTGTACTCTTATTTATTTCTTATACTTCATTATTTTTCTTAAATGACAGTTAAATACCATTTAATATCATTAGTGGGAGAAAAAGGACCAGGTAGAGAGTTCTTAAATGAAATGAATTAATTCAGATTTATTCATTTTTAATGTGAGTTATTAGTTTGTATAATGTACACAGATGTCTGTCGTCCTTCCTTACTTCCCTCCCACATTTACCCACTCCCTTTACACTCTAGATACCACCCCCTATCCTGAGAGTTAACAATACAGAATTTACAGTTTGAAGTTTTTCAATTCTTAAAATTATTTTAATTGATATAATTGTTGAAACACTAAGCTGCATAGATATTAGAAGATTTTTTAAAAATATTTCCATTTTTTTGGCAAGAATGGTTTGTATTGGTAGAAACTTATTTTATTACAGTGGCTCCTAGATATTGAAGCTTGTCCATCAAGTTAGTTTTCTACTTGCTGTTTATTTTCATTTCCATAGCAAGCTTAAAATTTCCCTTTTCCTTTCTTTAACTTATTAAGGTCCTCATTTTATCTCCTCATATACGCCAGTCTAGATTCTCCATTGAGGAAGTCTGACAAATTGTGACTTTAGAATAAATTATCAGTTGGTTTTCTAAATTCCTTAATTTTTCTCGTATGTTAGAAAGATTTGAATCTAAGCAACTAGAACCCATCTTGCTTAGTCTAGGCCCTGTTATTTATTCATTTGAAATATTGCCTGTTCTATCTAGAGTAGATAGTTCCTTCTTATATCCTTCAAATATCGTGCATGAGAGAGTAAATATCTAACCCTAGTTTTCTGTTCTTAGTTGCAGTATAGCCTACTAATCTAAAGTGTACTCCTGAATATAGACTTCATGCACTAGAATTATGCTCATTTTAGAATTATTTTAGAATTATGATTATTTTAGAATTTGTTCTCTGTCATATAACAAGGTCATAAGTCTCTTAAGTGTGACTTGAAGTAATTATTTTTATAAGGAAAATGTATTACCAATTGAGTAAAGACTGTTATTGACTGAGAAGAAATAGAATTCTAATATATATTAGGTATGTGATAGAAAGTTTTACTTGTAGTTGTGTCTTGCTCTTATATTAGTCTTGTTTCACTCCAATGATGATTTAGGTATGATTATTTGCTTTATAGAATGATTAAGATACTGTGACGATAGCTATGCATGACACATAGTAGGCATTCCGTAAATCTTATAGTAATATGTGTTCATTTATGAAGGGGATTTAAGTAAATCTTGTTTTATAATTCAGTTTTCAAATAACTTTTGAGGAAATTATAAATTATTAAAAGAAGAGCATACATATTAACATGAGACAAATATTTCAAGAGACTATATTTAAAATTTGTAAAATATTAGTGTCTACGGCTTTAGAAAATGTGAATACATTGCTTTCAATTCCCTTTAGATGCCATAACTAAAAAGCTCTCTTTTTCTCCTTTAAAATATTTTTCCTCTAATTAAAAAAAATGTTTAATAGATTTCATCAAGACTCCATTGATATTGTTAAATATGCATAGATTTACTTAGAAAGCAATTTCCTGGACCTCATTTGTATTATTAAGTTTGTTAATGGACTAAACTACTTTTTAAAATAGTAGGACTGTTAGGTAAGAAGGGGGACCCATTTTAATTTGTTCTGACGGGATCCTTAAGAACGGCAGAAAAGTCAGAAGTTTGGATGACGTTTAGTTTTCTTTCCTTTACTCTTTCTAGCATAGTATATATTCTCTTCAAAGTTAGCTTCCCAATGAAATCTGAGCAAAAACTTGCAGCTTCCCCACCCCCATCTCTAGCTTTGTCCAAATGTGTTGAGCATGTTTGAAATTATGGGGCCTATAGTAGTAGAAGTATATGTCAGAGGTAGTGCTTGGAAATGGTATTCTTATTTTCAAACTCTGCTGCATATTTGCACACTATACATTAGCCCTCCGATGGTAGAAGAGTTACGAGGAGAATCTTATATGTGATGACCTATATCTTTCAAAGTTTTAAGAATTAAACTGTAGATTGCCTTAAGAAATGGCAAGTTACAATGCTTAATTCTGTCTATTTTACTTGTATTATTACTTGAGAAATTAGTTTAGACAAGTGAACTGAGTACAGAATTAGAAATTAATTTGTTTTCACTCCAGGAATTTTCCCCTCCAAGTTTGTCTTTCATGCTCTATGTGAGGGAATGGTTATCATCTAAATTTTAGGTATATTATTTAGTTTAAGATTTACCTGCTTGTGTTTAAAATAGGATTGTATTTGACAAAACAAGCAGTAAATTGGTTAGATCACCTTCGCTGGTGGTAGAGATCATGACTGTTCATTGGCTGTTGGGATTCATCTCCAGACGTTTAGGAAAATGTTAATTGATGGTGAGCCATATAAAAAAGAATGCCTAATAGTGATTTGAACCCAACTATTCTAAATTTAAAGATGTTTTTCAGAGAAATATGCTGCTGTGGTGCTATTAAGCCTTGATTTTGCTGTGATGTTTAAGTTGCCACTGAAATTATAGGAAGGGAAGTCTTGGATCATTGTCTTTTAGGCTGTTAACTTTGTATCGTTAATTAAACTTTTGAAAGTTGTGGGATAAATCAAATGCCTTTCTAGGGAAACAAGAAACAGTATTAATGAGCAACAACCCCATAATTATCCTTGTGAGTACATAACAGGGACACATTCATGTCTTTTCTTTGCGCGATAACTTTTACAAAGAAGTATTTTTAAACTGATCATTAATTTTATGGCCACAGAAATGAGATGCAAAATTTATGCTGTTGTCATTGGCACAGGCTCAAGGCACCGCTGACATTATGTGTGATTGTAATAGAATGGCTGCCAACTAATGATTCTGTAGCCATTTCATTTGAGCATGCTTTTCTTTTTGATGTCTGATTAGGCTGTAATGCTTTCAATTATGTCTGTAAATTGTATTGGATACGTTTACCTGATGCTCATTGTTGCTTTGGAGTTCAGCTTTCTATTACATAAACACAAGTTGAACATTTTCCTTTTAATTTATAGAAGTCTTTGCAGGTATAGCTGCAAATACTCAGCCCCTGGGGAGAAAAAATGCTTTCTACTACTCAACAGCGACCCCTGTGTTCAACTTAAGTTCCTTATAATACAGCAGCTCTGTTTATTGGATTGAAAATAATAATTAGGGGGAAGGAAAAAGGATGGATCATCACTGGAACAATAGTAAAATGAAGAGGACCACTTTGAAAAATGATGTATTCTTTCAACTTAATGCAAGTTAAAAAGGGAATAACCCTGTACGGATACCACAGAGCTCCTTATAAGAGTAAGAATACTTACTCTTATACTCAGAAAGTAAAGATACTTTCAGTTAGTACAAAGGAAGCTTAAAAAAAAAGGGAAGTAATGAGGCCAGTAGCAGTACTTAATTTATTTTGTCTTAGATAAATATAAATATCACACTGATTTAAAAAAAAATTTGGAATGAGCTTCAGTTCTTAGAATGGCTAAGTTGAAGACAATTTCACTTTAATACATAATCCCAAAAGTGTTTTTTTTAAAAAAAACCCAAAAACCAGTGTCTTTAACATTTTAGCGACCAATTTGTCTAGAATGTTCTTTTTTTTTAGAATATTCTTAACTCATATTAAATGTTATTGAGTTTATAGCTTTAATAATGCTCTTTTTTGATGTGTGTATATATCTCTATAAATATAGATTGGTGTGTGCATGTGTGTATATATGTGAATATACATGGGTATACATGTAAAAATACAGCATAGATATTATCAGAGGATAATAAACTAATTCTGATTTTCAAAACTTTTTGTTTTAATTTTTTTCTGTTTATTTCCTCATAGAGTTTAATAGATTTAAGCCTGAGCGTCTGAGTGTTTTTTCAAAATCCTTTCCAAAATATTCATTGGTTTTATTGTTGTATTCTTATATTTGTAGTAGTGTAATATGCTAAGTGCTAAGTTATGGTGATGTATTTGAAGTATCCTAATACTTTTGTTTTCACAAAAAGATTTATAGTTCATGATATGAAATATTTTTGGAAAATTCATACCATAAAAATTCTTACTTTCTTAAGAATATAAGGGTACTCTAGGAACTACGAGTAACTGAGAATTTTGTGATCTATGAGCTGTCGTTGCATGCGCAAACATGTTTTTACTAGCACTTTATGAGGTTCTCTCTTACCTCATATTTGAAGTCAGAACACTCTTCTTTGCATAAAATAAATTTTGTAAGGGATCACTGAACGTTTTGAAAAGTGCTTTGAACATCTTGAAAGAAAGAAATTAAGATCTTAGGAATGAGCAGTATTTGTATGTGTTCCATGGCATTTTAGTTGGGGAAGAAACATCACCATGTATGGTAGCCCTAGTGGTAGAATCACGAAGGACAACAAGATAGTCATCTCTATGTTCTGCTCTTATTGTCTTGATGGGAGATGTCCCTGTCTTTACTTTCAGGGTGAGGATGACGAATACTGATGAAATGTCAGAATTATAAAGAAATAGAGATGAATATTGCTTTTTTAAATTACTTTGACAGTATTATCTTGAAAGAGGCTATTTCCTCTACCAAAAAGAAGGTGAAAAATAGGTTTCTACCCATCAAATGGATGTCAGCAGATGCAGATATCCTTTTGGAGAGACTAGTAGCGTTTATCTGGATCTGCTCAGCAACTATGGTCTAAAAGTCATACTATAGGTACTGTAGGGTTCCTATGGAGATTTTCAGCATGCCGAGGTAGCTGGTTTTCTGTTGAATTGTTAACAGGTAACTTGAATTGTTAACAGTTAGGTAATTGATATAGTAATAAGCATACATTTTTCTTTTTCATTGAATATGGGTGAAAAATGAGTGCTTATATATAACTGGGCTAGCAAATATCTGATTCATTCTCTTTTTAAAAAAGTTATTCTAAGTGAATATGTGGAAAAAACCCAGCCCACAGATTTTATTGTGGGGAGTAAGTTACTTCAAACCAACCAACCAACCTAGGATTTGCAAATCATGTAGAAAACTAGTTAGAACGTTAAAAGAGTGGTTGTGTATCATTGAATGAAAATTGAAAGTGTCTAGTTTATAAATCACCTTGTTTGAATTTAAAAGGTTTGTATAAATTTTAAAGCAGTTTTTCCCATAAAGGATTCCTGCTCTTGAAAATCCAACTGAGTATTTTTGATTTACTCTAATGTAATCCTGTGATTTTTTTTGTGTGTGTGTGAGGAAGATTGGCCCTGAGCTAGCATCTGTTGCCAGTCTTCCTCTTTTTGCTTGAGGAAGGTGGTCCTTGAGCGAACATTTGTTCTAGTCTTCCTCTACTTTATGTGGGATGCCGCCACAGCATGGCTTGATGAGTAGTGTGCAGGTCTGCACCTGGGATCTGAACCATGGACCCCAGGCTGCTAAACTGGAGCACATGAGTGCAAGCACCACACCATCCGTCTGGCCCCACATCCTGTGATTTTTAATGGAAACATAAAATGTTAATATGTCTTGAATTATCAATTTCTCATCATAATTTTTCAAATTGTTGAGTAGGTAAATGGTATTAACTTGAATTATTTTCTCTGTTGTGCTTTTCTGTTGTTGTTATCCTTATTTTGGATTTGTTTGCTTGTTTTGGATGCATACCCTTCTTCTACTTTTTTGTCTTCATCTTTGTAGAGACCACCATAATTTTAGAACCTGTATCCTTTTGTATTGGAAATAGGCAGTTGTATACTGACCTTCAAAAACTCTTACTGTATCTAAATCACAGTTGATATACATTAAAATAAGACCTGTTTTTACCTAGTTCAAAAAATTTTCTTTCCTTTTCTATGACAGTGACTGAGTTTAATAGTCAAATTTACCTCTTCTGACAAAGTAACATTTTTTTAAGATGGCAAATTGTAAAAGACTTTTCTGTGACTCTTTTATAGGTGATGCAGAAGATGGGGACGAATATGATGACCCTTTTGCTGGGCCTCCAGACACTATTTCATTAGCCTCAGAAAGATATGATAAAGATGATGAAGTCCCTTCTGATGGTATGTGACATTTTCCCGTAGAATATGCCTCTTGACACTCTAACGCAAAACAATGCAATGTGTAGAGGTCTTGTCAGAAAGCAGATAAATGCAGAGGCTTCAGTTATCTTACCTGTACCAGAACTATTTAAGGAACAGAAGAGCTCTCTCTAGTGGTTTTCCTAAGTATGTAGTTCCTTCTTTTCCCAGGAAATTTTCTTTACTAAAGTCTTTAGGAGAGTGCTTGCATCATCATATGAATATTATTAGTAAATTTGTTGGTTAATTTAATATTATCAGATTCTTGCTTAATTTTATTGTACTGCTTAATAGCTTGTTGTATTATTTATTTTATAAATAATGAAAAAGGTTTTTGATCTCTTTTTTTCAGAAAACTTTATACAAAATGAGTTCATAAAATATTTAATTAATTATTCCTACATTGCCTTCTCGCATTGAGACAAGTTTTTATCAAATGCTTCTTTTAATGCCCATTTTCTTTTTTTTTTACTGTCACCTAAAAATGCCCCACATTATGCAGTAATATTACAGTGTTTTGTATTCATTGAATTAGTATGAAGTTAATTTTTATCTCTTAGTAATTTTCAAAAACTTGCCAAAGTTGTGAAACTTTAGTGTAGTGTGTGCTTTCTCTGTTAATAGCCAGTGGAGTACATCCGCATTATAGAGACTTTTTAAGGGTGATATATAGTTATAAATTAAGAATGTGTATTGATAAATTTGCCATGCATATTAATTTGTGGTACTCAAAGTTTCACATAGACATAGAAATGAATAATGCCTTCTGCTACTATATGATGATCAAACTGTGCAGTTCCATCTCTAAATACAATTGCTGAATGAAAATATGCTTCCTGCAACAGAGCACTCCACATTTTATGTTACCCAGATTATTCCCTTTGGAAACATAAATTGCTTTTATGAGGTATAAAATTATGTCTATTGCAGAACAGGGATAAGTCAAGTACATGCATAAGTGATAAACATTCTAACCACTGATTCAGAACAACACAATCTTTTTTTTATATTCAGAACTTTGTACAATGTGTAGCAATAATAATCATGTCCATTTTATGTTGAATTTTACATTTTGGTGAACATTTAATTTCTATTTTTTAAAGGAAGAGATTTCTTTCTCTTATATTCCCTGTTTTTTAAAAAGATGCACATTTCTCTTCAGTCACACTTACTATCTGAAACAGAGTGTTACCCTTTCTAACCTGATCTTCAAAAGCATTTCTACTAGAAGATGTTTTATAATTAATGAAATAATGTTTTTAGGCAAAACAATGAATTACTGTTTGAGTCGAACTACTTTTCAGACACAGTACAATGATATTTTGCAGAAAAGCAAAATAAAAGTGCAAAAATAAAGTGTTGGTAGGTGGAAATGAGTATGTGTGTGTACGTATACATATATGGAGACAGAATGTTTATACTTGAGAATATATATACACATACACACAGAGAATATATTCATAGAATATATATGCTTGGAATTTCTCAAAATAGCATAAATATTTTGATGTAGAAGGGAGCATTATGTGCATTCTTAAAAAAAAATTTCAACCTAAAAATCCAACAATATCTATGAGCCAGTGATTTGCGAGAAAAAGTGAATTGTTTTTAAATTATAGTACCTTTACATAATTATTGTTTTCTGTCTTATGAGTAAATAATTTATCATATGTTTGCTTTTCATAACCAAATATACAGGACATATAGCATGAAAAAGATTTATTGTTAAAGAGTTACTTTATCAATATTTGACTATTATGTAATAACATATATAACATTGTTTTTGTTAAATATTGGTGCATTTTCATTAGTGCTTGTGTAGGCAATTCATAAGCAGATTGAAAATTGAACTTTTAGTATTATTCATTTTTGGTATATAAAACCATTTTTGGTAGTTTCACATTTTCTAAGAATATTATAAATTAATTTTAAAACTACCATTTGGACTTTTCATTTCTGCTCTACAGTATCATCTAGTCATATCAGTTTTTTCTCCCTGCAACTTATATTTTGTATGTGTTCTCTTTCCTTTGCTGAATAAATTTTCCTTTATTATGTGACCTCAGTCTAATGATATATTAATTATAAAAAGATAATGCATTTAACAATAAGTATAACCAAATTAGCACAGGTCAACAAAAGGCCTTTTGTCAAATCAGATTGTTGTTTTGTCCTTTTGACTTTTACCTTATGGTAGGCACTAACAAAGTATCTGAACATTGATGGATTATAAACTCTAAACATGATATGTATTTTTCATAATGCTAATGTAATTTTCAAGGTACTGAGAAGGTCAAACCTGCACATCTCTGTGTGCATTCTAAGTCTGTCTTTTCCTTTAATATTTCTTTTTCTCTGTTCCTCTGGTTCAAAAGTTCACTCAGTTCCCAAATGGCTACCTAATTTTCCAGCTATTCCCTCAAGCCATATGTGTTTTGGTTTCTTTATGGTTTATTAGGTACTGTAGGAAAGTAGCATAAGTTATATCTTCTAATGAAATTCAAGCACACTTCAGTGATGCTTCGACTTGATTGCTAGTAGCAATTAAATCACAGCCAAGGAGAATAATGCATAATCTCACAAGGTCCAGACGCCCTATAGAAATTGAAAGGGGATGAAAACAGAAAACAAAAACAAAGTCTCCAAACCCTGCCAGACACTGTTTCCAGCCTGCGTTTTTTTTTTTTTTTTTTTATTGGCCAACTGCCTGATTGATAGCAAAATCATAACTTGCTGCATGCTAACAGGCAAAGTTCACTTGTAGGTTATTGTGAGCTGATAAAGGGTTAGATGGAGTTTTGATTTTCACATTGGACCTTGGTACACCAGATTAATGGAATTTCAATGAGGGAGTAGAGTAGCCACAGCTTTGTCAGAGAAACAGATGGAGATTCTATAGTCATGTCTACTCATTAATACTAGTTGCCTGAAAGGTGTGCCGCTTCTCTATACAAAAGAGTTGATATAATTGATTTTTGAGTGGTGCATTGAAAAAAAGTACTTTATTGATGACTAGAAGTGTAACATAGATGGTGACAGATTTTTGTATAGCTTGTAGCACAAAAACATTGTACTTTGTAATTTTTTTCTTTTCTCTCTTTGGAAACATTTTTTATTTTTATTTTTTGAGTGGAAATACATTTTAAGACCAGTTGCAGAAAAAGGAGAGAATAACATGCTAAATTACCTTATAAAAAAAAGAGGAAAAGCCTGTATTTTATTTATAAATAATTTTATGACTGTTGTTAGTTTTTGATATGGTAATATTTATAAAAAATCATAGTTATTAGAAATTTCATTAGCTTTGTGCTTTATTTTTTTCTGGAAAATTTAAAACAAATCGTAATGGTTTCTAGACTATTGTAGATCACTGTTAGAAGTTTTATGCTATTGTGTGACTAGATATATTGAAGTTTAATATAAATGGTGCATGTCAATAATCAGATAAAATTAGAGAGAATGAAATTCAAAACTTAAAGAAGAATATCCCTTATTATACATGTGTTAGAATGTTTGCTTGGGCACTAAGGTGGTAAATGCAGGGTAGCCTTAAGACACTATATAATGACTTGGGTTTCCATTTTTCTACTCTGAAATCATTTTTCATTCATTTTCGCCGTTTGTGAAGGGAAGCTTCTAACCATATAGCATTGTGGAAAGTCCCTGAGGTAAGGTGAAAGGATTCAGCGAGCCAGAAGACATATATTGGCTCTGCCCATCGATGATAGGTCAAAGGATCCCAGTGGACATTTGTTACAAATCTGATTCAGTCCTAGACCATAATCACTTTGTGGATAAGAATCTGGAACCTCTAGGGTGTGAATATAGGAAGGCTAAAATGAAGCTAAGGATATAAAACAGTCATTTATTGTCCCGGTATCTTCCTAACTAAACATTTCCAAGTAACGTAGTTTACTGAAAACTGTGAGCATTGCAGGGTCATAGATCTATATGAAAAATATTGGTTTAGGAATGGAACTATTTTTTAAAGCTTGGGAATTAAGAAAAAAGGCTAAGCTGTTTTGATCATAATTAATAATATTAAATAATGATTTTTTTTCTTTTTTGGTATACCTTTCTTTAAGAAAATCCAGTGTATGAAAATTTGGATTTATAAAACATATAAATCAGTTATTCCAAAGGATTTCTTTAAAAAGGATTATCTCCCGGATGCCTATAAATAATGAACTCTCAGAATGCATCTAAAATAAGCTTACAGATAAACTCATCCACATACATACACATAAATTTAATGTGTAAATTTTTATACATTACACATCAAACTTTTGAGAGATTTTTTGTGTGTAAAATTAGGTGTAGTTCTAATCAGTTCTTGTAGTATGATATGGTTTTTGATACTTAAAATCATATTTTTGTATTTTATTCTGAGAATTTTTATATTAGTTTGCAACTTGCATATTTCTTTGTGTACGTAAGATGTATTATTGCACATGTGGTTTCTGTTTTTTTATTTAAAAAATTTTTTTTATTGAGTTCATAATAGTTTACATCAATGTGAAATTTCAGTTGTACATTATTTCTTGACTGTCACCACATAAGTGCTCCCCTTCAGCCCCAGTGCCCCCCACCCCCCTTCCCCTGGTAACCACTGAACTGTTTTCTTTGTCCCAGTACTTATTTATATTCCACATATAAGTGAAATGATCTGGTGTTTGTCTTTCTCAGACTAGCTTATTTCACTTAGCATAATTCCCTCTAGGTCCTTCCATGTTATTGCAAATGGAATGAATTTCTCCTTTTTTTCTGGCTGAGTAGTATTCCATTGTATATGTATACCACATCTTCTTTATCCAGTTATCAGTCGATGGGCACTTGGTTGCTTCCATGTCATGGGTATTGTGAATAGTGCTGCAATGAACATAGGGGTGCATATGTTACTTTGGATTGTTGATTTCAAATTGTTTGGGTAGATACCCAGTAGTGGGATGGCTGGGTCATATGATAGGTCTATTTTAAGTTTT